GGATGTCCTCTGGCCTTGGCTGCTCATGGCGACCCTGCAGGCAGGACTGGGCCATACAGGGCTGGCGCTGGCGGCGGCGGTCGAGTCGGAGAGGGCGGCGGCGCAGAAAGCCATCATTCGGGTGATCCCCCTGAAAGTGGAACCCATCATACTGGAAGGGGAGTTTGCAAACGTTGCTGAGGTGACTCCAGCTGAAGGAAAACTGCTCCAGGTAAGAGTGGCTTTACTGTATCCCACTCCATCTGCCCATCCTGCTGCTCTGATGCTTTCCCCCCTTTTCTCTCCGTGCTGCTTCACCTCCCAGCGCGGCGCGTTTGGTTTTATTTCCCAACTGCAGGTTTATAGCCGCAGCAGTGAGGTGTTCTGCACGTGAGCTGTCCACCCGTGCGGTTTGTCGCTTTGTGTCCCTGCCCCCCGGCCCCGCGCGCCCTTTTGCGGCAGAAGGGATCGTGGAAACGGTTGATTCTTCATTCAGTCGCGATTTGTAGCAGTGCTTGTATCACTGATGAATTTTGGACGTGGTCGGTCGATCTTAGTTGATGTTATAAAGCTGAGTGTGTCAAGTCACATGTTGGGACGCTAAGCATCTGACAGAAACCATGAGTTTTATTGTTTCTGGGTGAAACCGATAAGGTTTTCTGCACGCTTCTGCTGATCGCTGGGGTTCTGTTACAGCTAAAATACACAGCCAGACTTCGCCCACCGCAATGCCTGGCCCTGCTAGTTGTTGTCGTGTGTATTGCCTGTACCTGAAAGTCGAATTTTACCCATACCGTGGGTGCTGTGGTGTCACCTCCGTGTATTTTTATAAGTGAAATTAATGCTGGTTTCTGACCTTTACTAAGGAGAGAGCATCCGAACATCTCTCCGTGAGGTGCAGATGCTGCTGAGAGGCAGAGCTGAGCTCCTCGGTGAACAGACCCATCTCCTGCAAGTGCGAAGTTTTGAGCTCAGTTTCTTGAGACCTGGCGTGTTCTCTCTCGTTTCTGTTGGTAATTTGCTTGGCAGTCGTGTGCTTTATTCTTGAAAACAAAAAAAATGACAAAATAGCCTGCATTAATATTAAATCTTAATTGTTGCATGGCTTTTTCCAGTCTTGACTTCCCAAACATGGTATGTTGTAATCTTAATTAAATTTGCAGCTTGGAAATTTAAATTAAAGTAATAAATTTCACACAGGCTTACAAGAAAAGCAATACAGTTGAGCCAGCTTTAGAACACGGTCACCTGCCTGCAAATGAAAATGGGTAATTTGCGACATTCACAAAGCCTGTTTTTCCACGCCTTTTGAACTACTCAGAACGAAAGTTGTGCTATAAAATTATATTACCGGGCTAAAAAAATATCTTAGACAAATGTACTCAAGGTCCTGTTCTGTCGTGAGGCAATGTCCAGGAAAGTCAATATTTATTCCTTACAAAAACTACAGTGGTGTTGCAACTGAGCACAAAGTAGAGAGTGTGGACGTTTTCGAAATGAGAAGATGATAACCTCTGTTGTGGGATGTGGGGATGTTTTTAACCAAATGCAGTCACACAGAGCGGGACTTTTGTATCGCCTGCCGCCGCGGCAGCACAAACGAGGCGTTTGGAATGCTGAGCCAGAAATAGTGTCAGATTTACAAGTGGACTTCAGCCTTTAAAAATCATCCTCAAAATGGAGAGGGTTGGGGAAACGCTAATCTAATCTGTGGAGTTTGTGTACACAGATACTGCCCCGCACTGTATATGTTTTTAGGCCTTGATTCCGCCACTGCGTGTGCGCAGGTGAGCGTTCCTATTGCCTATCCCACCCAATCCCCTGCGGAAAACCGTCCGGGTCTGGTTTTGGGTGGCGATGTAGGGATGGGGGGGTCAGGCTGTGCCTCCTGCAGCAGGATGTTTGCCTGGTGCCAGGCACTGTGCTCCGGGAAAGCTCAGTCAAGTGTACCTGTGACCTCCCGTGTGCGTCTTACGGTGTAGTTTCTAATTCTGCCACTACGTATCAAAACTCGGAATACAAAATGCCATTTAAAATTGTTTGGGTCCCGATCCTGCGGTGGCATCCTGCCTCTGGAAAAACGAAACGGGGAATGGAGCTGTAGCTGTTAAGGTGCAAAATAAGTAAGAAATTAAGGGGAGGTACTATTTTTAGTTCGCATTTATATAGTCGGATGTTAAATACACCTGAATGAGGCCTTATTGGGACATCTTGTCTTACGTGTGGTTGTCAACATCCCAATCTTGCAAAAACGCTAGGTCATGTGCTTATCTTTGATGTCACTGGAACTCTTCTTTAAATAAACTTCAGCCTGTGCACGTGTACCTGCACAATTGGTCCTTTATATGTAATTTAGGCACGTAACATGATTATCTTTACAGTTAATGAGTTAAGAAGTCTTAGTTTTTACACCCTTTGGGGATGGGTCTGCTTGGTTGTGTCAGACCCTGTAAGGTGCAGTCAGCCCTCCTGTCCATCGCCAGAGAACGCAAACCGCAGAGCTTCGCTTGGAAAAGAAGAGCGGATGGCCCAGTCCTGTTTCCAAAGCAATGCTCTCTTGGCTCAGGGGTATAGTGAGATTGCTTAAGGAGGAGTGGTGCCGAGGTAGCCCTATGTTCAAGTAAAGTTTTCTTTGACTTATAATTATCTTCATGGTGTTCTGGTCAATATATTTTTAGAAATACATTCATAATTTAATATAGAAAATCCTGCATGTAAGTGATGGCGCCTCACCAAATGTACTTCTACCAGACCGTTTTCTCGGCTGCATTTCTCCCTGCCATATTTTCTTGGATCATCTACAGAAATGGACTTTGATCATGGTGTGTTGCGTTCTTAGGAGCTAACTTTAAAAATATCTTCTTTACCAATAATAAAATAAACCCAGTGTTGAATTCCTCCTTGCACCCCTCGCCCTTGTGACCGCTTCTTCTGGGAAATCTCTGGATGTTCAGTTTTGCGGGTCCCTGACTGGTGTGGGGGGAGCAGGTCAGTGCTGGGCAGCCGCGTAGGACCTGCCTGCCATCCGCCCCTTTCAGTTTAACGCGGGCAGCATTACCGCTGGCACTCTGCACCGTGCAGTATGATGCAAAGGGAGAAGAATTTCTCAAGTAGGCAGAGCCACTTAAGACTTTATAGGTCAAAAAACCAACACCTTAGACTTCTTACAGAAATCATCTTCAGGCTTGTGCATAGCTCAAGCTTGTTCGGAGAGCACAGCTTGGACTGTTGCTTAACACGGGAGAAGTGGTGTTGTGAACTAGTTTGCAGTTTCCAAATGGCTGGAAGTCTAGATCTCTGTTGAGCTTACTGCTGTAGCCTGGACTCCCTCTGCAGAACGTCCCAGGGAAGTCGGAAAATGGCCCTTTATTAAAGATGGAAGAACCAAACCTTTCAGACACATACGTTGGAGAGAACATATTTGGATCTTCCTGATAACGAGCAATCCATGAGCAGCTAAGGATTCAACGTGCCCTCCGAACTGCAGTGCCCATAGCTGTTTGCAGGTCGACTCCCTTTAATGTGATCGCTAATGCGGTTTTTACAGCCTCTGCTTTTGATATTTTTGCTGATTTTTGAGGAATAAATCTTGGTTTCCTTCTTGCCTATGCCTCAGTCTCCACTTGATACTGGAGAGAGTTGATGGTGGTGGTTTGAAGATAGATAGGAAAACAAGGAACGTCTTGGAAAGAAAAGGAGAGAGCCACTGTAGAGACTTGACAGAAGGAGATTTAAGATTTTTCCAAATTGAATTAAAGCAGAATTCACATGCAAATCTACTTGTGGAATAAAAAAAACTTTTTATTTAAGAAACAGTTCAGCACATTATTTTTTTTTTTTAGTAAAGCATATTATGAGCATATATAGTTAAAACTGAGTATTAGTATCTTTTTATTTCAGTGTATTTAACCCCAATCTTGTATCCTAGGGAAAGGATGACACCATCAGTATGCGTGGTGTGGCTGGGGCTGTTACCGTCTCTAGTCCTGGGGCGAGGATTTCTGAAATAATGTTAAAAGTCCCAAGCAATGATATTTAAAAAGAGATAGACAAACTCAAACTACTGTATTTACTGTAGAGACGGCAAAGCAATCATCAATTGCCAATCGCTTTACATGTCTACATGGAGAAAAACCATGTAGATATGTAGAACAGTCCTCTTATTTAGCAGGCAAAAGTATGTAATCAGTTTTCCCAATGTGCATTATTTTATCGCAAGTCTCACAATACTTTGTTTCATGCCCGTATAATCTTAGCGGTTGCATAGTTAGGTGATTGTAGGAGAAAGTCAACTTTCACTTACCCGCTAAGCACATTGTTCTAACATACCACTGCAGGAAAAAACCTGGAGAACAGAGAACGTGCTCCCTAAAGGCTCAGAAACCCAAAAGCAAGGGTTATCTCTTTCCTCTCCCCCCAAAGAAATTAATTATTTAAAAACCATTATTTTTAAAGTCGACCTTCTATTTAAGGTGGAGTGAGTGAGAATTAGAGGAGGATCTTGAATCATAATTTTTTAGGTGGTGTGTACAAGTCAGAAGCTGAAAATCAAACATAGATATATTCAGAAAAGGAGCGTGGTGCGTGTTTGTAGCAGCAATGTTAACCCTGGAAATTGCCACAAGGAACCCAACGTGGTCATCCTGGAGACGGAGAGTGTTTCCAATGTTGTAATGCATAGAGCTATTGGAGAATTATAATCACCTACTTAACTGCTTATAGAGGGTTACGCTCCCAACCCATAAGAAAGTAAATATATTAGTAGTCTTCTATCCTACTAGCTCCTGGATCAACCAAAGGATGTTGAGTGCATAATGTTGACAGAGATCAAAGAAGTGGGAAAGTCTAACCAAATGATAATGGAGACTTAAATTACCTGTGAATAAACTGGTCAGATAGCACAATAAGAGTAAGTTCAAAGAAGCAATTTCTGCCTCTTGGAACAGCTAGTACTAGAGTACACAGAAAGATATTCTTGACTTAGTGTGAAGTAATGTGCCAGAACTGGCTCAAAAGCTGGCGATAATTGAACCACTTGTATTGATGGCAGCATAATAAAATTCGTTGCCCGAGTACCAAAAAGTGGAACTCTGACATTAACCTTTAGAAGGGGAACTTGCACTGAAGTCAAACAGTGAGACAAATGGCTCTTGCAGCTTAAAACAATTATCTTTACATGCGGCACAGATACCACTCAGGAAAGTAAAAGCACTTTTGGGAAACATATAAAGC